GTGACACCTCAAATGGGCCCACGAAAATCCGAGGAGGGAGGGGGTACCGGTGGGCCGCACTGCAAGTGGGAAGTTTCGAGTCTCTGGCTGCATGTTCCATCTCCAACATCAGGCGCGGCTGCGGTCAGATACACTCGTGCCGTTTCGTTTCTAGCCTCGGTCATTTCATCCGCGGGACAGAAGTCGGCTTTTGTCACGTTGCACGTCGGCTTGGTCGTTTCGGGCGAGGGAGGGCAGTCCGCTTTTGTCGCGTTGCACGTTGGAGTCTGGTAGTTTGTCCCACAAACGCACATTTGGTGAGTAGTCATTCCGCTTTTGTCAAGTTGAGCGACGGAGTCGGGCTGTCCCATGAAAGGGTCTCGCTCCACTACTCACCAATAGTTGTTGTCTTTTGTGCATGCGGTGAGTAGCAAAGCGAGGCCCTTTCTTTTTCCAGGACAGGCTTGGCCTCGCTCAACTAGTCACCAAACGTGCAAAATGGGAATAAAATTTCCGCTGGAACACGCAAAGATACACTACCATATTTTTCGTCTTTTGCGCATGTGGTAAGTAGTGAAGCGAAAAAAAAAAAAAAAAAAAAAAAAAAAAAAAAAGTAGTGATTCTAGTGAAGCAAGACCGTATATATTTTCGTGAGAGGGGCTCGAATCCACAAGACGGCGTAGAACATGGGAAGATACACCACCATATTTGTTGTCTTTTGTGCTCCTCTGGAGTCTGGGCCACAGCGTGGCCGCGGCATGTCCGTGTTTTTTTTTAAATTATTATAATATTATATTATTATTATTTCTCTGTTTATTAGACAGGAAGGCCTTTCAGTAACCCAGACTTACTTTTTAAGTCTTCACCAGAATGCTCTACACCTGTGCACTTTCGAGTTTCAAACAGATTGGATCCCCTTTTTCACCGAAAGGTAGGACTTCGACTTCTGTGTCTTCACCTCTACGTTTGATGGAAGAGTCAATCCCCTCGGGAGAGGGCAATCAATGCTGCTCGTTGCATAAGAGTCGCAATCGACTCCTGTCTTTGGTTATCTTGTAAATGGGACGCTGGACCCGGTTTCCAGCAGGTGCAGCTCCCCACCTATAATCGGAGCCATCTATATAGGAGGCCTACCATTGGAGGTCGCTCTGATCGCCATTCCCCCTTCTTTTGCCAACCAACTCCTCCTTATCCCCCGCTCTTATTCCAACAACAAATAATAGTAATAACAATGAATGGACATGGAGCCATGGCCATAAGAACCTGCTAAAAATAATAATAATAAATAAATAAAAATGATTAATGGCGGAACCCAAATCAATGTTTGAATCCCTCTTCTACTGCCAGCACACGCCTGGACATTATCGCCATATCCAGAATGACATTTGCCCCAAATACAGTTATACCGACAAGGCGTGCTATTCGGGCGAAGACGGTAGCTTTGCACAATGCATACCATTGTGCAAAAATAACAAACCTCTCCCTGCAATGCGCGCGCGCGCGCGCACAAAAAAAAAAAAAGGTGCCCCTACATTTGTTACCTACTGCCAAACCTCTGAGATGCAGTACACCTTTCCTCTTTTTTTTTTTTTTTAATGCAGTACACCTCTTTCCGTTTCGCTGTTGATTGAAACAAAAGCGCCCATACATTTGTTATCAACAGCGAAACGCGAAGGCCTTCCCATTTCGCTGTTGATTGAAAGCAAAGGAAAAAGGGGAAAAAATATGGTGTGGGTTGTGCTCAAAGGCATGAGATGTTTGATTACAGCCCAGCTGTTTTTCTGCTTTAGGCTACGCTACAATCTTCCTCGGGACAGAACATACAGTCACTGTGGCGAGGTATCTAGACTGAAAGTTGCCCCAAATACAGGCAAAATGACTGCACAATGCACATTCTATTCAGGGGAAGAGGTACCATTGTCAGTCCGGACTGATGTTCAGGACCCACTCGTGCTAGGTTCATGCATAGAAAACATGAACCTGGCCGCAAAAGGGGCCAGGTTCCTGCTAACATGGCATAAAAACATAGCACCAGTGAGCCCTTCCCCTGAGTCATCTTTCTATGCTCTGGGTACTTGCCATGTTCCCTCCTCACATGGAGTTAGTTGCTGAGGGAAGGGCTACAGCCTACAGTGGTAGAAAACATGAACCTGGCCGCGAAAGGGGCCAGGTCGCGGCCAGGTTCCTGCTAACATGGCATAAAAACATAGCACCAGGGAGCCCTTCCCCTGAGTCATCTTTCTATGCTCTGGGTACTTGCCATGTCCCCTCCTCACATGGGGTTAGTTGCTGAGGGAAGGGCTACAGCCTACAGGCGTCAGCGTGTTCCTGCTTTGCTGCTGATTGTCTGGACAGGCCGACAGAAACGGAGGAAGCAGCAACACAAGGAAGAAAAGCGGCGGCAAGAGAATGAGGCGAAAAGGAAGAGGCGGCAAGAGAACCTCCTTTTCTGTCGGCCTGTCCAGACAATCAAACGAAAAGGAAGAGGCGGCGAAAGAATGAGGCGAACAGAGAGAGACGGCAAGAATGAAAAAGGGAGAATCAAAAGCAAAACAGAATGGGAAAAGAAAGCTAGCATGGTTGGAAGGGGAGGCGAAGCTGAGGGAGGGAAGGGAGGGAGGGAGGGAGGGAGGGAGGGAGGGAGTGGAGAAAAAGAGGGTGAAAGATAGGCAGCCAGGAAGAAAGCAAGATGAAGCAAAGCAAATCGTAGAGGAAGAGAGCGTACAGAAAAAGGACACGAGTGGCGAACAAAAGAGAGAAGAAAACAGAGAACAGAGTAGACAAGACACGATAACGAGACGAGAGAGGGGAGAGGAGAGGGGAGAAGAGAATGGAGAAAGAAGCGCAGAAGAGAGAAGAAAGCAGAAAAGAGAGACGGAACGAGATGGGAGAAGGGAGAACATAAAAAATAGAAGTGAACGGACCAGTAGAGGAGAGGAGAGCAAAAGAGGAGAGCAAATGAACAAGTAGAGAGTGGAGAGAGGAGAAGGGAAACAAGAAAACAGAACAGAAGAGAACGAGAGGTAACGACACCAAAAGCGAACAGACGAGAGTAAAGTGGGCCAAAGCCAACACGCACGTGTGTGAGTGTGTGTGTGTGTGTGTGAGAGAGAGAGAGAGGTGTGTGTGTGTGTGTGTGTGTGTGTGTGTGTGTGTGTGTGT